CATTTCCCAAGGTTATCTGACACCATTATGCTAAATCTTTTAAGATTAGAAACTGCATATTAACTATAAATTGAACAAATCATTATCTACTTGGTCTCTAAAAGGAAGAAACAACTTTAGACTTCAACTGTTCATTAGATTTAGAGATTTCACTTTCTGGACGATCCAGACCAACTAGCTACTCTAGAAATAAATTTCTTTTCAGATATCTTGGCCTAATGGTCATTTAGCTTCTGCTTAACATTGATGATAATTGTGAAATCACTGCCAATTTTACTTATTCATTTGTTAGTGATAACACTAAAAATGGTCAATAATGATGTGATATTGGAAATTTTTAATGAAAAAAATTAAAGGAAAGTCATAGATCAAGACTCTAAAGATTTCATGTCAACCTCCTAAAGATCCATTAATTTATCTCTTGGCAAAGTTGTTCCACCAATCACTAAACGGCAATGTCTCATTTTATGTACTGAAATCCTAAATCATTTCATTATTTGTTGAGTAAGTCAAGACACAAGTTATCTTCAGCAGTTAGGAAAACAAATCTTAGCTGTTTGGGAAAACAAGGACTTTACCAGTTACTTGAACAGAGAGAATTTAATGAAAGGAGTTGGTTAGAGAAATATTAGAGGGTTAAAGAGACAAAAATAGAAAAATAAATAACACATGGAGTAACTGCAGAAAGCAAGTACTAATACTTGACCTGTGGGACAAAAAGGAAAGCAGTTTGGTTGTTTAACTCTGGAAGCTTGCAGAGGGGTTGCTGAGGACTGAGCAGGGGGTTGCTGTGCTGGTGCCTTTGAGGAGGTGTGTGAAGATGGTTCAGAGCATGGATACTGTAATTGTCTCTGCCACTGACAGGGGCAATGACTAAACAGGGAAGAGTACTCTCCTCCCTTCTCTCATGCCCCGTTCTGTCAATAGCTGACAGGATGCCAGCTCAACAAGGAGAAATGTAGCTTGCTTAATAACCAGTTCATTATGTAAGTAATATCATTTGGAAGGTTATAGGTGAGAATAGATAAATAGTAAAATTAAACGTCTGTGCAATTCCACTTGATCCGAAGACTTTTCAGTCTTTAGGACAAAATGAGATAGAATTTACAAAGCCAATTTAGTGAATTTATTCTTGATAACAACTTGCTCCCTTAATTTTATCAAAGCATTAACTTACTCTGGAAACATTCATTCCCTCTATATTTAATAACCTATTAGATTATGTCAAAGATTCATTTTCAGCATACTTACAGAACTTGGAGTTCTAAAATTTTAACATTTGTCATTGTAAAGACCAGTAACATTTATCTGTCATCATTACTTTCCAGTTGCCTCATTGCTTTCTCACGGTCACCCTTCTTTGATTCTAAATCAATATTCATTTAGCTTTGACTCTAAGAATTTCTGTGTTTCACCTTTGTGAAGTTATAGTGAATGATTTTATTCTGCCCTCTAGGTAAGTTTTATTTAGCTAAATCCATCAGAGACAACTATAACTTTGTGTTTTTTTATACATTTTCTTTCAAAATATCTTGGCACTCAGTTGATACTGTGTTTACTAGTTTGAACATCTGTTTGAAGATTTCTCCCTCAAGCCAAAAGTAATCTCTTCTGCCTCTGAAATCCCATAAAATTTTATCTGTACCTCTATAATAGTGAAAACATTTTCCAGTCAGACCTAAAATTATCTATTATGTATGTTTTTCTCTACTACTCTACTTTTAAATTAAAACAAGTTCTTTTTGCAAGCATTATTTGCCAAATAATTTATTACATACAAAGAATGCAAATCTGAATTAAAACGAAGAACTTAGTCCTATGGAACCCAAGACCAGCCAAGAGTGATATGTAAATAAATGATTAAAAGTGTGAGATGAGTGTAATAATAGTAATATATACAAGATACAGAGATGGCAAAAAAGAAAAGGCGGTTTATTTTGCTGGGAGTGGATTGAAGAAAATTCTAGCTGCATCTTGAGTTGACATTTTAATTGGTATCCAAACAGTAGGTGGGGTTGAGCAAAGAATGACATTTCATGTAGAAAGCATGGCATGATTAAAAAATACAGAGATATGAAAGCTCAAGGCATACTGGAGGAATGGCAAGGAGTTCAGTAAAGCTTAAGATGATATATAAATGGGGATTCAGTAAAAAAGATATAGGAAGTGTCCAGGTCATGGAGGTGCTTGGATGCAATGCAAAAAGGTTTTGTGCTCCATTCAGTAGGAAGTTCAGAATTAACAATAAATTTTACTTAAAAGAGATTACTTAGGGTCTGGTGAATTGGACCAAAGATCAACTGAAAGACTTTAAGAAATAGGTTGAAGAAACGTAACCTAATCAGGTGCTCTTATTTGAGACTTTGCATTTTGAGGAAAAGACACAGAGAAACTCAGAACACTGTAATTAAATCCAGCAGCGAATGCCCCACTGCCTGTTGGCAGCAATCTCAAGGCTTCCTAGTGTTTAGGGTCAACGATATTGTGAGGGAAGAAATGACACCCTGACTAATCTATTTCCTGTACTACCCATGGGTGCAATTCATGCTCTAATCTTAAACTTTCATTCTAATTCTCCAATGTTTCCTTTTGTTTGTGAATTAAATGACCTACTTTCAATACATTTCTTTTCTCTTTAACTTAGCCAGAATTATTTTCTAGAGAATTCCAGTTGGCTTTGTACAGATCTGAAGCTGAGCTACAAGTCGCTTTACGAAAATCTTTAAAAACATAAAAGGTGCTATCAATTTCAAAATAGTCTTACTTTGAAAGTATAAATATGAATGCAATCTCAAGATATTGTAAGAACACCTTGTTGAAAGTAATAGTGGGGGGAAAAATAGATTTGGCATGATAATTGCATTTCAGGACTAGAATTACTGATTAAGTGAAATGCGTTTTTTCATAAGTCCATATGAACTATATATTAGTGTGCTTGAATAACATGTTTTGTAATTGCAATCTATTGATTTTCGTTGACTTTTAAATATTATTACCACTTTTTAATTTTCAAAAGAAAGGAAAGAAGAAAAATAAAATATGCATTACATTAGTATAGGTACGAATGCTTTGAATTTTATAAATCTTCCTGCTATTCTTTCCAATATGTTTTTATGCTTTTATTTTGCTTTTTGTAGTAACTAGTTATTTTATTCTAATTAATATTGATAAAATACTACTATTAATTTGATTGGAACATTCAAAATTATTATACTGATTAAATGTATTCATTTTTAAGAAGGTATAATTTACATACAGTAAAATTCACCCTTTGTAATTTACACTCCACTGTCTCTGACCTGCGCAGTTTCTGCTGAAAAGTCTTCTATCTGTGATTCTTAGCTTTGTCCTCCTTATGTTCTGTGTCTATTTTTCTAGTTGCCTTCAAATGTTATGTTTTAGTATTTGGTCTTTAGCAGCTTCAAGATTCTGTGTCCAGGGGTATGTGTGCATGTGTATATGTGTGTGTAGGTGTGTGTGGTTTTTGCATTTTGCACCTATTCTCTTTAGAGTTCTCTAAGCTTCTTGGATCTTTGATGCATTGTCTCACATTATCTTTAGAAAATGATCAACCACTATTTCTTTAAAATTATTTTTCTCTGTCATACTTTCTCTTCTTCTTGCATTCCAACTATCTATTTATTAGATTGTTTGATATTTTCCCATAGACCCTGGATGGACTGTTTTTATTTTTGTTTTAATTTTTTGCCTGTGTCTTTTTTAATTTGGGTAATTTCTATTGATTTATCCTTAAGGCTACTGATTCTTTCTTTGGTTTTATCAAGTCTATTTATGTGACCATTATGGGATTCTTCTATCTGTTAGCATGTTTTTCATGTCTAACATTTTAATTTGATTCTTAGAGTTTCCATCTCTTCGCTAAAATTCACCATCTATTTCTGCATGTTGATATTTTCCACTTGTACCTTTAAGATATTAATTATAATTATTTTAAATTCCCTATCTGATATTTACAATCTCTGAATTATATCTGAAACTCATTTTATTATCTCTTGAAAGTGATTTATTTTTTGCATCTCATAATTTTTAGTTAAAACCTAAATATGTTGTGTAATAGAGACTGAGGTATTTATTATTTATAATTAAAAATGGACACATCTTTTCTTTTGCTTGGTTTTAATGTGAAGGGCTGACTCAATCTTGTTAAGAGTGGCTCTGGCTTTGGGTTTTGTTGTTTCCTGTGTTTAATTTCACTGTACTACATATTTGAAATTCCTGTGGCGTTAGCATGTGAGCTAGTTTGCTGGAGAGTTTTTCCTCAGTGTCTGTTTCACCCTCAGTCTTAGGTCTCATCTTTGTGCCTGCAGCTCAGAAAAGTTCTTGCTCTACATTCTTGCCTGCCGCCAGGTATACACTGCTGTTACCCAAGACTTGCTAACCAGTTTGTGTGGGGCAGAGGGCTGGGAAGGTGTGTTATCTCTTGTTCTTAGGAAGGTCCTGTGCTGCTGGGTCCCATGAGAAGGGACCCTTTTAGAAAAGTTGTAAACCCCATAATAGCCTATAATAGTCTCAGGACATTTTCGTGAAAGTCCCATAAGAAAAAGTTATTTTTTCCTCTTTTCTTTCCCTATGAGCAATTGATTCTCACTTGTGCCCTGAGGGTGATAGATTTTTCTGTCCTTGTCCAAAGACGTAAGCCTTTTGTCTAGAACAGTAAACTAAAATACCATTAAAGCACAATAAATGGGATCCAAAAATTGAATCATGTAAAATTAAAATTACATTATTGAGAATTTCAATGACAAATAATATTTTCTAGTCTTTTTTTAATTGTCACAAAACAGAAAAAAAATGCAAAACAAGGAATGATATATTGCAGACAAGTAAATAAACTTCAAACTGAGAAAGTCCTAAAGGATCAGGAGGGATTTACCTTCTAACAGAATCTCTCTCCACAATGAAAGAGAAACTTTAACCTATTTATATTCCCTTGAGAATGTTGGACTGGAAGACTAGAGCCAAGTGTCAGTCATTATGGGGGAAGGGTATAGCTCAGTGGTAGAGTGCCTGCCTGACATGCATGAGGTCCTGGGTTCAATCCCCAGTACTTCCACTAAAAATAATTAAATAAACCTAATTACACCCCCCCTGAAAAAAACACAAACAATCATTCCAATTTGCATTCTAGTGTTTTAATGTAAGCATTCAATTAATTTTATATACAAACATTGGGCATCAGTATAAAATTACCACCAATTTATTTTCTTAGAACAATACTCCAAAGTGGAACAAACCCTAGGGTTCCTTTTCTTTTTTCTGAGAAAATGTAATGACAATATTCAATAGGAAACCCCTCAAACATTGCTGAGGGAGTGGGCTGATAAAGCAAAGCTGAAAGTATCAGTAAAAGAAAGTGAAGAATTTCTTGTGCTGATAATATTGGATTTGTAATTTGAGCACATTGATCTTTTCTCTTAAATAAAATACTTAAAGACCCTCATTAGTTATTGTCTACAGTATTAGAACCAGTTTGAGTTTTCCTGCAGGATTTAAAAATACAGTAACTATATTTCTGTAAAGAATATCTAATTACACGTCTGAAAACGTGTTCAGTGCTAAGACAGAATATTTTAAAAACAAGATGATCTTGAAAAGTACAAGATAGTCATTTACACAACCTAGAGGAGTACCAAGTACACTTTGGTAGTTAGTATGTGTTTTCTATGTGAGAAGAATGAAAACAAACCAGTGGTCCAGATGAACTTGAAAGTAATTTTCTCTCTCTTTTACTCATATACACACATCCTTATATATTTACTTAAAGACGTCATAAATAGCTCCAAAGTCACATTAGAAAGCTAGTATTATGAGAATATATACTATTTTTGATATTTTCAAATTCATGAATTGATGATTATTACTTGTTTTATTACTGACATGAGGTTACTGTGTTGTCTGATTTCTTTCCAAAGAGTCAAACTAGAAGACTAAATAGACTTTAATTTCTATTTTCCAAAATACTTGGTTTTCAAAGAAGTTTTGAAGAAACAAAAAGATCTACCTTGTACTTACATAAGAAAACCTCTGTTAAATGAAGCTGTCAACTTTCTCTGAAATTTTGTAAAATTGAGAAAATTTTAATAAAATATTAATTTTGTATGACTAGATAATTTTATTTAAAACAATTTATGGAAAATCAACAATCAAGAATAGCAAGGAGAACTTGGAAAAGAAGAGACATGAATGGAGATTATAATCACTAAGTTTTAAATAATTATGAAACTTAGTAATTAATCAATATCCTCCTAGCACTTGAATAGACATGTAAGCCAAACAAATAAAATAAAAGATCTAGAAATAGGACTAAATACAAATGCAACTTATTAAATGTTAAAGACAGTATCTCAAACAAGTAGGCAAAATAGACTATTTATAAAATAATGATGAAGCTCTGGGTCAGCATCTAAAAAATACAAATAAATTTAAATATATATATATATTTGTTATAACTTATACCAAGATAAATTTTAAATAGGTGAAAATGTGCATGTGATGCATTATGTAACAAAAAATTAGGTAAACAAATAGATTAATATCTTCATAAAGTTTGAATAGGGAAGAGTTTTCTAACTATGAGTCAAAATTCTAAAGCCTTTGAAGAAAGATTAGCTAACTCAATCACATAAGCATCAACACCTGTACATACGAAAATTAAATATAAATGTAAAGAAAATATCATGAGCAAACTGAAAAAAAGAAAGTGATATATTTATAATGTATCACAGACGAAGGACTAATCACCTTAACTCTAAGAACTTCTAGAGGGTGGTGCGTTAGTTAGCGTGGGCTTCCCCTGACTAACATGTTGTTCTTGGCTCTACTTCTTATGTGTGAAATACATTCATTTCATCCCAACAGCCCCCAGTGTCTCAACTCATTATAGCATCAATTCTACGGTCTAAACTTCAAAGTCTCATCTAAATATCATCTAAGTCAGGTCTAGGTGAGACTCGCAGTACAATCTTCCAGAGGCAAAATTCCTCCCCAGCTGCAAACCTGTGAAAGAAGACAGGTCATGTGCTGCCAAAATACAATGGTGAGACAGGCACATGATGGACATTCTCATCCCAAAAGGGAGAAATGGGAAAGCAGGAGGGATTGATGGATCCCAAGCAAGCCCAGACAGCAAGGCAGATTGCATTAGATCCTGAGGCTCAAGAATAATCCTCTTCTGTTTTCTGCTCTGCCTTCAGGACGCAGCGGGGCAGTGGTCTTGCCTCTGCCTCTTTGCCAGGAGGGGGCCCGGCCGCTAAGGCTCCAGGCAGCCATCTTCAGGCCTGCTGAAACAGAGGCAGAGGCCACTCACCCTCTGAAACCTAGGAGGCAGCCCTGATGATCTCTGAGTCACCTTTGAGTTCATTCTTCCCTTGTCTTTAAAATAGTGCATGTTTATGATTTAATAGTTTTATGATCAGATCCTGTAGGATCTATGAAGTCCAGCAGCCTTTCTTCATTTTGTCTCATCTCTGTCTCCTTCACTTCAAACTGTTAGTGTTTCTGATCGTATAAACTCATAACCTCTTCATCGAGTTATAGCCCAGCCCACTCCCATGCCTGGGGCTCTCTTACAGACATGCTTTTTTATTTTTTTTGTTTTGTAATATGAACAAGCTGAGAAATTTCAAAATCTTTAAGTTCTGGTTCCATTTTGCTTAGCAGTTCCTTCTTCAATTTATTTCTCTCTTCTCAAATTTTATCATAAACAGTCAGAAGGAACCAATCCACTCTCTCAATACTTTGCTTAGAAATCTCCTCAGCTAAATATCCAATTTCATCATTCACAGGTTCTACCTTCCACAAAACGCTGGAACATAAACATAGTTCAGCCAAGTTCTTTGCCACTGTATGACAGGGATTGCCTTTCTTCTATTTTGCAATGATACATTCCTTATTTCTGTCTGAGACCAAACCAGAATGGCATTTAAAATTCGTATTTCTACCAATATTCTATTCATGATTGTTTATGTACCCTCTAAGAAAATCGTAGCTTTTATCTCTCCAGCTCTCCTCTTTTCCTTCTGAATCCTCACCAGAATCGCCTTTAACGTTCATATTTCTAGCATGCACCTCAAAACTCTTTGACCTTTTCCTAACACTGTTTACAAATTCTTAGGTATTTATTAGAGCAGTACCCCCACTTCTCAGGATCGAAATCTACATTTTTCATCTCAGGCTTTTATGACAAAACATCATAGACTATGTGGCTTAAGCAACAGAAATTTCATTTTTTCACAATTCTGGAAGCCAGGGTGTTCAAGATCAAGACACGGCAGGGTTCAATTTCTGGTGAAAGTTCTCCTCCTGGCTTGCAGATGGCCACTTTCCCTGTGTGCTCACACGGCCTCTTCTGGGTGCACACACGTGAGGGAGAGCTAGCTCTCTCATCTCTCTCTTATGAGGGCACTGATTCTGTCATGAAGGCCCCACTCTCATGACCTCATCTAACTCTACCTTCCAAAAGCCAGTCTCAAAATAATATAACGTTGGGGCTTAGGGATTTAACGTACAAATTTCAGAGGGGCACAAATATTTAGTGCATGACAAGTCGTAAGGAAAATATCAATAACATGATAGAAAAAATGGACAAAGGATATGTATGCAGAGCTCTCAGAAAAGAAAATATAAATGGCTCTAGCACATATGAGAAAATGAACCACTATGTTTGTAATCAGGGAAGTATGCTGAGACACTGTTTTCCACCTTAATGACTGCCAAATCCAAAAGTTTAATCATGCCCTCTGTTCATGAGGTTGTTAGGAAACAGGAACTTTCATGTTACTGGAGGAAGATTAAATTGGTACAACCCTTCCACAGAGAAACTTAGTATAGTGTAGCACAATAAAGATGTGTATACCCATAGACCCAGATATTTATCCTGCAAGTAAAATTGCATGCCTGAGGAAAGATATAACACAATTGTATATAATAGCAAAAGATTGGAAGCATCCTAAATGCCTATCAATTGGGAAAAGCTTAAACAAACTGAGGTGTGTCCTTCAATGGAATACATTACAGCTGTCAAAGAACAAGGCAGCTCTCTGTACAGATATGAAAAGATTTCTGATATAAGTGGTTGCTAAAGATAACGTAGTACAGTGTATATAATACACTAAATATTGTATAAATTGGGGGTAATATGTATTTATACTTATATTTGTTTGCCTATGCTTAAAGAAAAAGGAACCGCAGATAAGAAAATAGTGATTCTATGTCTCCAGCAAATGGTTGGAGTTAGAAATGGGTAAATGAGGGACAGAGATGAGAGGAAACTTTTTGATTGTGTACTCTTTACGCATTTTTCTGTTCTTGACTATTTGAGTGAATAACCTATTCAAAATTAAATTCAAACTTAAGTTAAAAATGTTTTTGATTTTGTAGAAAGGCAGAACCTAGGAAAGAGTCTATAAAACACTGGAAATGATGTAAACCCCAAAATAAACAAATCAAAATTAGATGAATGAGATTTGTAAGGTCATTACACTAACATTTTTAGAATAGCATGTTATGTGAAGTATAGTTTCATGTGTGAGGTTAAAATTTCACAATTACTATGAAATGAACTGCTGTGGGAGGTGAGAAGGCTTGGGAGGATCAAAACATGCAGTTTTTTTTTTAATGATCCTCTTAAGAAGAAAACATCAGATAATGAGGGAAATAAAAACAAGAGAAGTGTCAAGGACATTAGCAAAACTTTTAACTTGTGTCACCATGAGAAAAGGCAAAGGACTACAAAGAGCTAAATGAAAATAAAAGCCAAGAAAGAAGGATCAAGGGCCCCAGATGACCATGGAGCAGAGGCTACTGTCCCTGACATCAAACTGTGGTTATTAGGCCACTGAGATTTTAGGGTGGCCGCCTCCCAACAGTTTCTCTGCTAGGGTGGAAACAGTGTTGTAGCATGGGTGTGCCTTCTCTTTAAAATATAGTAATGAAATTCACTATCAAATAGGAAGCTTAATGACTTTTAAGCCCATACCAGTGAAAGAGGACAAGATTATTTCTAAAATACATTCTCCATCTTTAGGGGAGGAAGATGTTTCATTACTTTCTTCA